CTGCTTCTCAATCCACTAGACCACACTGCCTGGAGGCATAATAGCAGAGGGAACCTTGGGATGATTCTCAGTAAGATGGAATTACTGATACCTAACAGTGATAACACCTTCCCATTTCCCCTCAGAGTTTATCCAAAGGCCTCCTCTCTAGTTTTCAATCTTTCCCTACTATCTCCTTCCCTGAGGCAACTGGTGGTATAGTGGATAGAATGCTAGGCCTGGAGTCAGGAAGACCCGAGTTCAAATCTGACCTCAGACACTTATCAGTTATGTGACCTGGGCAAGTCACTTAACCTTTGTTTGCCTTAGTTACCTCGACTGTAAAATGGACTCGTGGTGTTATGAAGATCAAATTGATGGGGTGCTCGGACCCTAGCCCTACTCTCCCCCCCACTAAGACAGCCGGGGCGGCCCACCCCTACCCTTTAAAAAGCCTTCATTTGACCCCTGTAGAGGGAACATCCCAGGTGTAGAGCCATCTGTGCAAAGGCATGATGTAGGAGAGAGAAATGATGGGCCAGGAGGATTCCCATCGGGAAGGAAAGGATTCCTTTTCCACATGAATGGATAGTGCCCCAAGGTCCCAAATGTGGCCAATGAGTGAAGTCATCATTCAGCATTCCACCCTCAAACCTGAAGCTTTTCCTAACGCCAGATGGGGACCACAGCTATTAACCAAAGGCTTTGCTGGAAGATGGTCAAGATGAGCGAGCTTGGTTTCAAATTCTGAACCAGGGGCATCGTCAGAGCAGGGCAGGCCCCCAGCCACCTCTGGGGGAAACAAATGTTCCTGCCTCCTCTTTGGTATAACACAGAGCCCAGGGCCCTGCACCTCTCTGGGGTCCCATGATCTCAGGCCAGTTTGGGGGCTGACACAAAGGGCTCATTTTCTGTTTCACTGCCTCCCCCCCTCAAAGGTTTACTATAGGAAAATCTTCAAATGTGAGCTTGTCTACATTTCTGTCCATGTGAGCGCCAGGGTCCCCAGGGTCCCTGCCTTCAGGGGGCCTCTCCACCCAGCCTGGCTTCTGATCTCCCCGGGAGGCAGAGAAATTGGCAGATAGCCCCGGGGGCTTTGGCCTCCCCTCCCCCCCACAGCCCTGGGCTATCTGAGGAGGGAGCACATTTATCCCAGGAATCAGTTCTTTTTTAATCTGGTTATCATTAGGAGGGTATTAGCAAGAATGGAGCTTTTCTAAGCAAATTAAAGAGGGCTTTTAAAAAGGGTCTGAACAACAGCCACTTAAAAAGGGGGGACTTATTCTCACCGGTGTATGCAGACTGTCCACTGGAATTAAGAGAAGGCAGCTGCTAGATCAAAAACTATGATCTTTAGTCAGGGCCAGAAGCAGCAGCTGGGGTTCCACACAGCAGCAAGTGCTGGGGAGCCCCCAAGCTGGGAGCTGGATGTGGGGCTCTTCCAAAGTGAGGGCAGAGGGAGAGGGTGGCCAGGTCCACCAGCTAAGGTGTTTTGCATAACTGCAGGGGATCCCTGAGGGGACAGTTTAGGGTATTTACACAAAATGGTCAGAGGCCAGGATAGATAAGGTCTGATCAGCTTTAGGCTGGGTCTGGGAATGAAGATAAGGTCAGGGTCAGGCAGCTGGGGAGACAAAAGTTTATAATTAAACAGCCAATGGAAGAGGTCTGAGGGAAAGGAGCATTTCACTAGAATTCCTAGGAATCCAACCTAGACACTGCAGTGATTCCTAGAGAGCCCTCCTCCCTTGGGAGAGCCATCCTAGCCTCTTCATCAGCTAGGCTTTCCATCCTAGGGAATTCAAACTGTTTAGGTACCTCTGGGCTACCTCCAAGTTTGCCTGGGAATTCCAAAGTAGGCAATAATCACTAGGCGGAGGGGGATGGAACAAGTATTTTATAGCACCTACTATGTGCCAAGCTCTGTGTGAAGCACTTTATAATTAGGACATCTGTTCACAGGCTTGAGGGGTACTGATAAGGTTTAGAGGTTCAGGGATGCTGGGACCCCAAAATCACAACATGCAGGTCCTGTCCAAAAGAATTCGACCCAAGCCTTCTTTCAGCCAAAGACAAGGTTAATTAGAACATCCTTCATATTGGGCAGACTCTTAAGCAGTCTGAACATTAGTGAGCTAGTGGCTAGATTATAAGAATCTGAGCAGTGGCTTGATTATAAGAATCAGAGCATCTTAATGGAGACAAGACAGACCTTATATACAGAAAGACTATGGGAGGAATCTAGGAGTGGCCAAGTAGTCTAGGAGGTAACAGAACTCCAGGGGTGGCCAAGAGAGACTGGAGCCTAGATAGGATTAAGGGTGGGAAGTGGCCAGGGGACATAGGGAGGTCTAGGCTAGTTTAAGGGTAACAGATTGGGCATAAGCCAGTGGATGGGATTATAGGCTCTGGGGAACACCAGAGATCTAGCCATGTGGGAAAGTCCAGGGTTTTTCCTTTTTGAGGTCTAGATCTCATCCTCATCATTAGGTGCTCTCGTGATCCCCACTTTACAGGTGAGGAAAGGAGGCAGCCAGAGGAACAGTGACTTGCCTAAAGTCACACAACTAGTTTCTGAATCTGAACTCAGGTCTTCAGGCCCAGCGCTCCATCCACTGTACTATCTAGCTATCCCTATGGAAAAGAACTAAGACTCTGCCTGGGAAATGGAGCAAAACTTGGAGAAGTCAGGAATCCAGAAGCTCAGCTGGGCACTGATTCCCCCCCCCACTCACCTGCCCTCTCCCCAACCCCCCCACTATGGGAACACTTCTGCCTATGAAGCCATGCCCCCCCCATCACAGCAGCCACAAAGCCTCCTCCCTCCCTGGGACTCCCTACCCTGGTCGTGCCAACCTCACCAAAGTGATGAGAGTCCCCAAGGAGAAAAGGCTAGCAATGCACATTTTGAACACCTGCAGGTGCTAGAGCTAGAAATAGAATCAAGATCAATTATCATCCCTATGCCGAGGATTCTCAGATCTACCTTTCCTTCCCCAACCTCTCGGTCTCCAATCTGGCATCTCCAGTTGCCTTTCAGACGTCTCCCGCTGGGTATGCAGCGGCCGTCTGAACGTGAGCTCAGTGCCTTTCCTCCACGCCCCTTCCCTATGCCTGTGGAGGGCTACAGACCCCATCCTCCGGGTCTGTTAAGCTCACCACGGCGGAGCCCTCCTGGACTCCTGCTATCTCTCACCAGCCGCCCCCGATCCGGTGTCCCGAGTCTCGTGTACCCGGACCTCACAACATCCGTTAAGTGCGCCCTTTCTCTCTGCCGCTGCCCGCGCCCTGAGGCAGGTCCTCAACCCCTCCCACCGGCATTACTGCAGACGCTGCTGTGGCGGAGTCTCTCCCCGATCCAGTCCACTGTACATCAGCCGAAACTCCAGCGGCCCGCTCACCCAGGATCCGGCACCAAGGGGTCAGCTTGGCCTTCGAAGACATCAGCACGCGCCCCCTCCCTTCCCTGTCTTCCTGCACCCCACTCCCCGACCGAACTCTTTGCGCCCCTCCCCCACTGCCATTCCACAAACCAGACTCTCCATCCCTCCCACCTCCCGACGGGTTCTCCGACTGGCCCCCAGGACCGGAATGCTCTTCCTCCTCCGCTCGGACTAGTGACCTTCCAGCTAAAATCCCACCTTGTACCGGAAGCCTCCCTCCCTCCGCCTGCCCCTGGGGATTGCCTCCCGTTCTCTAGTTTGTACCTATTTGTTTGCGTGTTGTCCCCCCCCACCATTAGATTGTGAGGACAGGGACGGAATTTTGGCCCTTTGTCTGCCCAGTGCTCCGGCCGGCGCCTCGCTCACCACATGTGCTTAATAAATGTGTGGGTTTTGATTGACCAACTGGCTCTGCAGACGGACGTCCGTCCGATCGACGCAGCCTCGCGCTCTGGGCACAAACCGTTCCCTCGCTCAGCTGGGGGTGCGTCCTGCTCCCCAGGCCTACAGGGGCCTGGGACAGCGGACCCTCCGCGTCCCCTTTGTCTCCCAAGTCGGGTCCTTTGTCCTGGGCTGCCCAGCTCCTTGGTCCGGCTCCGGCTTCTCCCCTATTCTCCGCCTGCTCCCCCACTGGGCGCCTTAGCCTGTGCTTTTGTCTTGGTTCCCAGCCACTGCTGGCTTTTCCTTGTGCGGTCTGTGATGCGGCACGCGAAGCCCCCGCTTCTCCGTGGGGCCCCGCAACCCCGCGCAGCCTGGCTCTGCCCACGTCGCCCCGCAGCCCCGTGAGCTGCCCTCCCCTTGCTCGTCCCGTGCGCAGGCGGGGCCCCTCGCCCGGACCCCCGTCCCTCAGAGCGCAGCGCACGATCTGGGCCGGTGCTGGCCCCGCCCTCCTGGGGTCCGGGGTGCGCTCCGCCCGCTCGTACCAAGCGGGGGGACGGGGGGAGGGCGCTAAGGTGGACCGCGGCATCACAGAATCCCAGCCTGGGAAGAGCCCCCCCCCCATGCCCGGGGTCTCGCTCGGCCCCGCCCCTTCTGCCCCTCCCCCGGCCAAGAACCGTCTTCTGCCTTTCTTTGTGTCCCGCACACAGTAGGCACCTAATCAACGGGTATTGATGGTGGACGGGCTAACTGCTTAGAGCCGGTGTCCAGGGGCCAGACCCAGGTCAAAGGCACTGCCTGCCTTCAGGGAGCTCGCCATCCGCCAAAAGGATAAATTGGGGACAACCGAGACGGGGGAGGTACTGGCCGGAGGCACGGAATAGGAGGAAGGGCTGGACTTTTCCCGGACTTCAGGGGTCCTGCCGAGCCCTGCCCTCCCCACCGACCCCGAGAGGGGCCCACGGGCCCACAGCCCCACCGTCCTGCCCGACCCTCCTCTAGCTGAGGACTAGCGGACTCCCGCTTTCTCTGCCTTCGGGACTTCGCTGAAGGTGGGACCACTCCTACTGCGCAGGCGCCCTGCGGTCCCTGCTCCATCGACTCCATTTCCCAGAAGGCTCCTGCCGAGCCGCCCGCTGTGTCTCCGCGGCCCGGCCCCAATGCCTTCTGGGAGTCGCAGTTCGGGAGTGGAACCAGGCCGGCGCAGGCGCAGTGTCTCCTGCGGGCCCTTTGGGCTTTTTCTTCTCGGTGTGGCGGCGCCTCCGACTTCGCCCGCGGAGGCGGTGAGTGAGGGGGAGTGGGGAGGGAGAGGAGTGGGGAGGGGTCCATGAGGAGAGGCGAGGTCCGGGGTCCGCTGGAGTAGAGAGTGTGGGGGGGGGCAAAGCGAGAGGTGGGTGGGGTGCACGGGGTCAGAGGTCAGCAGGGGTCATGGAGCAGCTCAGGGGCTCGCAGAGGGAGGAGGGCAGTGGGGGCCCGGGTGGGGGAAGGGTCAACGGGGGAGGTGGAGGAGGGGGCCCAGGAGGAAGAAGGTCCTCACCCCGTTCAGCCTGGCCCCCCCCCGGGATGCTGTGACCCCGGGACTGACCCCAGGACCCCCACATTGTAGAAGCCAGCCCTTTGAGGTCCCCCTGCTGAGCCCGGGAGACAAAGAAGAGGGGGACCCTTATGGAGGGGCAGCGGGGGGGGGCGCAAGAATTAGGGGGTCAGAGAGGGTCCCAGCCCTTAGCCACGGAAGAGACCGGGGAGGGGTCCCCCCAGAGACCCTGCTACCCACGGGATTCACCCGCTTCTCTTCCCACCCCCAGGACCCCCCTCGGACCCAGAGCATCCTTGTCACCCCCGGAGGAGGAGGAGGAGGAGGTGACCATGGAGCGGCCGGGCCAGGACTGGAGGGGGAGAGGTGAGGGGGGAGGGGAGGAAGGGGCGCCCTGGGGGGGAAGGAAGGGTCCCGGGGGTCTCCTGGGGCTCTTTTTCTCCCTATCCCTCTTCTGAGCTGTTCTGCGCCCACCCTGGTCTCTTTGCTCACACTGGCACCCAGGCCAGGTGATGATCCCTCCTGGATTCTGGCCCCTCCCAGTGGGAGGTGTGCAGAGATGGATGAGGAATTCGGGGGGGCCTGTTCCCCCCAGGATTCTTGCCCTCATTCTTCCTCCGCAGGCGTCTTGGGGGGATTTAGGTTCCTGATCCATTTCCTGGTTCCCAGTTAGAGTCTTGACAGTCCTGGCATTTATTAAGCTTGAACTCTTTGCCAGGCCTGAGATGGCCCTACCCTTGGGGGGTGGGCAGTGGCAAACTCCTGCCCAGAGCACTGACCCTTGTGGAGGGGTGTGCAGGAGGTGGTCAGCAGAGGGAAGGCTTCATGTGCAAAGTGGGTTTTAGCTGGGATGGGAAGGAAGCCAGGAGGAAGAGAGGGAAGCCCCCCTCATCACTGGAAGGGGGCGATTATAAAGGGAATAGAGGGTCACCGGTGGAGAAGAGGGATGGGGTCCCTTGTGCATCCACCTCCTCACATGAGATGGGGGGGCTCGGGTGGAAGGCCTCACTTTTTTCTGTAAAGTGGAGGCTGGCGCTCAGCTGAGAGTGAGGGGAGGCACCTAGGGGAGGGCGGGATTGCCTGGCCACAGCCAGGGCCCAGGTGAGGGGCAGCGAGGATCTTCAGGGCGCCAGGCACAATGGCCTCAGGTTTTCTCTAGCTTTGTCGGGCTGATGCTTGGCAGGAACCCCAAGAGGGGAGGGCACCAGGGGGTCAAATGGGGCAGGGAAAGAGCTGAGGGGTTGGAGGGAAGGCGGAAGCACAGGAGATCGGGTGGGATAGCATGAAAGAAGCTTTTGGGTGAGGCTGCGGTGGGGTGGAGGAGGCCCTCCTGGAGGTGAATAGGTTGCTGTGGGAGGTTAGAGTGTTTGAGGCAGTATCGGTGTGTGTGGAGCCCCCATAGTGTGAGGGCAGGAGTTGGGGGTGACAGACTGAGCCTGGCACTGAACTCTGGGGAAAGAAGGGCAGCGGCCGGGAGGCTGGAGCCACTAAAGTGCCCAGAGACCTGCTTGGCTGGTAGATGGGGTCTGAGTGACTGTCAAAGGAGGAGAAGGGAGGGTGGGGGGTGGCAGTGCAGCCTCGGGGTCCCCCCACTCCATCAGCGGACCAGGGAAGGGGAACTCAAGGCTGTGCCATCAGGAGGGGCGGGAAGATGGAAGGGTGGGAAAGGAAAGGGTTTCAGGTGAAAACAGGTTTGTTATCCACTGAATGCACATCCAGAGACCCCGAGGAGGGGTGGCTAGCTCTGAGCGCAGCTTGGGGGGAGGGACAGGCTTTGGCTACTGGCCACCATGCTTCGGGTGGGTTGTTGGCATCCTTAAGGCCTGTCAGGGTTAGGCTGTGCCCTGCAGGCGCTCAGGCCAGGCTTAGGAGGAGTGAGGGGTCACCGCAGGCAGGGGAGAGGGCAGCCCGGGGCAGGTTTCACGTTACACATATTTCTTTCAGTTATTCCAGCTCAGTCTGTTTGGAGGCAACCCTTTTGTCCCACCCTCAAGGCCCACTCCTCCCTTATTCCCCTTTCCTGAGTTTTAACATGTTATTTTAACTTATTTGTGCCTTTTCTTACTTCATGTACTGATTCATGATTCTCTTCCCCCCCTCCCCCTGCTCAGTTAAGTGGTCAAGTCAGCCCCCTTTCTTTCCTCCCCTTCCCCTTTTGTTCTTTACATTTCATTTTCTGTGCCTTTTTCCAGAAAGAATTCCTTTCCCTTCCCTTCCTTATTTATCCTCCTTTTCTGCTCCGGACTTTATTCTTTGGTGCCTGTGTCCTCCCCGGAAGCTCTCCCCACCGCAAGCCCCCACACAGGGGAGGGCATTGCCCCAGTCTGTGCCCTGCACCACCGCCCGTAGCTTTCCCTGGCTGTGAGGAGAGCTCCTTGGGTCCGGCTCCCCGGAGGCCCAGTCCTGCCCTGCTTCTCTGTCTTCTCCCGCGGGTGTTCATGGGGTTGTTCCCTCCCACCCCTCCTTTGCCTCCTTGCCCGTTCTCCAGCAGGACCTCTTCTTCCTGGGGGAGTAGTTACCTTTTCTCTGGTGACCTTTGACTTCACTAGGGCCACCCCTGTTCCTGTCAAGCATCATCACTGCCCCCTTTTACGAGGCCCCTTCGGTTCACCTGTAGGCAGGGGCTGGGTGTCCAGGAGGTGTAGGGCGCCTCGGTCAGGGCCTCCTTCTCCACCATGGTTTCTGTTTGACTTCTGCTTTTGCTCTTGTGAAGTCTGCCTTCTCCGGTCCGTCATCTTCTCTGCTGCGTGGATCTACCCTGCTGGTGTTGCTATTGTCCGAGGTGTTGGTGAAGCAGGCCAGCTCTCCAGCTGATGCTCCAGCTGGGAAGGGTTCAGCTGCCTGTTACTGAGCCTCTCCTTTCTCATGGATGGTCCAGCACATGTGTGCAGGGCGAGGCACCGGGGATTATGTCTTGAGCCCTTCACAGTTGGGAAACATGCTTGTTTTCTGGTTGGTGGGGAGTAGTCTGGAGTGGCGTGGGCGGGCTTTCTTTGATGGTGGAAGGCCTTTCTCCTGGTCTCTCAGGGATTTCTTGTTTGTCAGCGGGAGTGTTCAATGAACTGCTGTGTATCGGAGGCAGTCAGGCTGTTTTCTTGTGCAGTTTCTAGCATTGTGGTGGTCAGGTTTTCAGCCTGTGATCCCCAAGCTGTCTCCACGCAGCCATTGCCCAGAGCAACACGGTTTTTGCTGTTGCCTTTTGCTTTGCTTCCCGGTGTCTAGATTCCCGGCCTTGTTTCTCTGGGGACACTCACTATCGTGGGTTCAGGTTTTTTATTCTGTCAGCTTTCACAATTCTGATTTCTCCTTTTAGCTGCTCAGAAACGTCCTGCTGTGGTTTTGACGCTTTTCCTTGAGTCACAGACTCCTGGGCTCTTTTATGGGATCTGGAGGCCACAGCCCCCTTCTGTTGTGGATAGCTTCCTTTTTTGTTCAAGGTCTTTGACTTTCCTTCCTCCTGAGAACTTGGGTGATTTCCGTCTTTTTATCCCCTTGTGGTCCCCTGCCTCTCACTTTCTGACTCTGCCCTGTTTGAGGGCAGAGCCCCCTGGGGGCTGGCCTTCCTAGCTGTCTCCCGGTCCTCAGCTTCACCAGCCTTGGTGTCCCTCCCTCGGCCCCTCTGTTTCCTCCCCTGTCCCCCAACCCTCTGCCTGTGGCTCCTTCTGGTAGAAGGAACTTGGGGCCCAGCCAGCCCCCACGCGTGGTCTCCTGCAACCTTGGCCTGGGAGTCAGTCCCTTAGAACTGCCTTGTGCAAGACAAGCCAGCAGAGCAAGGATGAGTTATCTAGAGCAGGAAGGTGTCTGGACGGTCTTGGCCCTGGTGGCTCACTCGCTCAGCCCCCTTGGACGGGCCGTGAACCCAGAAATAGTGGTGGAGGAGAAGACAGCTGCCCTTTGACCCTGGGTGCACACCCAGCTGCAGGAGGCGGGGTAGAGGGTGGGACCCTAAGCAGGGTTGTCCGCATCTTCCCTCATCCTCCTTTTTCTCCCCTCTCAGCTCTGTCTTGTGAAAATGCCACTGTCCGCCGAGAGAGGAACCTCCGAGATGGGGAGGGAACGATGGCACCCAGGGGCCTGGCAGCCCCCTACCAGGTGAGTGGGGGCTTCCCTCCCACCTTGTTCTTCGGCTGTGGGCTCGTTGTCTTCCCCTTTCTTCTAGAGAAAGCCTGGGAGTGTCACATGGACCGGAGACTTGGGTCTTGGCTGCCCCAGGGAAGAGGAGATCTCTGGGAGATTTCTGGAGGGCAGAAGCAGGCCTCAGGCCTGTAGGAGCTGCCACGCCAAGGGGCAGGTGGCCCCTGAGACCCCTTCTCGCTCTGGTCATTGCCAGGTATCTGAAGGGCTGGTCCTGGATGCCAGAATTCTGGCTTACAAAAAGGGCCGCGAGGCACATTTGGGGTGTGTGGAGGCCCTGTGTCGGTGTCTAAACTCCTTTCCAGAGCGGCTGGGCTGTCTCACTGCCCCAGCCATGGTGCTTCAGTGAGTACATCTGCCAGCATTGACTAGCATTTCTCTGCTCATGGTTGTTGAGAGGTTTGTTAAATTCTCCTGTTAACTGTCCTTCAGCACACCAGTAGTTTTCCGCATGTTGAACCTCGCTAGGTAGAAGACCTGCTTGGATCTTACAGAATCCGTTTTAGGCATTTCGGTGCCACCGCTTCGATGTTGGCGGTGGCACCTTGGTTCGGGCAGCTGGACCTTTTGTCTTCTAGAAGGACCCTGGTACCACTATATTTGCACGGTGCTTAGCAAGGTTCGTGACTTTGGCTTTTGGTGCTGGGATGCTCCCAGACCACCTTCTCCACCATGCACAGCCCCTGAAAACAGCTCAGATGCCCATGGAGACAGCGCCTGCAGCCTTCAGGCTCAGACCGCCCAGCAGGTCCTCCCCCCCCCCCCCCGGTGGTTTGTAGTGATCGTTAATTCTGCCATGTGGCGCCCTGCCGCTTCCCACAAATCTGGTCGTCTTCGTGGCTGTGGCCCGTGTGGCCCTGAGCACTCTTCCTGCCCAGGACGCAGCTCAGCCATCCCCAGCTCCCAGCACACACAGCCATGCCAGCTTCTTCCCTGTTTCAGAGAGAGCTGTCTCGTAGAAGGAAGTTAGCAGGGAGATCTCAGGAGCCCATCAATGAAGCAAGTCAGCAAGCCTTTATTAAGCATAACAGTGTGCCTGGCGCCGTGCAAGTACAACGTGCTTGTATACCAGTACAGAGAAAAGGCAGTCCCCGCCACTGGAAAAGAGAGGGCCGGGCCAAGCTTCCGTGCAGGTGCTCAGCCCCCTGCGGGGAGAGGCCAGATGGCGGAGTGGGCAGTTCCGGGGGTTTGACTGCATCTTGCCGGATGCTCTTTTTTATTTACTCATTTATTTTGGCAGTGACTGGGTCTCTCCACACCACCTTGGCTAGAAATGCAGGGCCTGCTCCCAGGAGCAGGGGCTTGCTCTTTTTCCAACGTGGGCTGGTACCTCCCCCCCTGAGGGCGAGTGTGGACCCCCAGTCCTAGGCCCTCCACAACTCAGCGCTCCATCGGGCCCGCTTGATGAAAGCTGTTCAGCTCTTGAGCCCAGTGACCCCCCCCACACACACACATATTGAGTTCTCACTCTGAGCTGTTTTTGAATTTGCACTTTTCTGATGTGGAGGTTGGTCATTTTTTCTCCTCAGGACCAGTATGGGCTGGCTCAGGCCATGCGGGTTGGGGGGGAGGGTCCATCCGTTGGCTTTGTTGTCCCTTTTGGGCAGATTCATTTGACTTGGGTTGGCTTTGTCCTGTTGCATTTATTAAACCCTTACTACATTCAGGCCAGTGTGCGGGCTCCTGCTCTGAAGCCCAGAAGTTTCTGCAGCAGGTCAGATGGAGGTGGCCCCATGGTTGTTGGGGTACAAACCCCTGAGTGCTTGTTCATGTCCTTTCCAGATCGAACCAGGCCAAGGACTCTGGGGAAGCCGGTGCTGTTCCCAGGGCTCTTGGGCTCTGGTGTGGAGCTGCTTCCATGGGTGGAATGGTGGGAGTGATGCGGGTGGTCTGCCTGGCCCGGCCCCCTGCCTTCTGTCCCTCCTCTGGGTGCCCGCGCACGGCGGCAGCACTGGGCTGTCCCAGCTGGCCTGGGCCCCTCTGGGCACTCCTCGTGAACATGTGAACAGCTCCTTGTGTCTGGTTAGGTGAGCGCTCTTTGTGGCAGTCGTGGCTTCACCCGTTTATCTCTGGGGAATGACCAGCTCTCAATTCATTTGGTAGCTTTGGCGGTCGGCATTTTCTCAGCTATTTTCAGTCAGCAGAGATTCTTTTCTGTTGGCCCGTTACGAAGGGATCCCTTCTCCTGAGAGAGAGAGAGCGCGTGTCCCCGTCCAGAGCTGAGGCAGGGGAGAGCGGGGCCTCCGCTTCCAGCCCAGAGTCACTGAACTCCCAGATGAGGAAATTCTCTCCACCAGCACAGATCCGCTCCTCAGCAGCACACAAACTTGCAGGGAAGTTAGTGGGCTCAGGGTCTGGACTCGGACCTGGGTCCTCCTGGCTTGGAGCCCAGCTCTCTAACCTCGCTGGCACACGGCCTTCTGAGGGCTGGTACTGAAATGGGGGAAGGGGTCCCTTCGCTGCCTCAGTGTCCTCATCAGTAAAGTGGGGTAATAACAGCACCTCCCTCTCCAGGTTATTGTGAGGATGGAATGAAATAATAGTTGTGAAGCGCTTGGCACACTGCCTGGCATGTAATAGGCACTTTATAAATGCTAGCTCTTATAATTGTACTACAGATAGCTCCTTCAGGCACCTCTGCCCATGAATATATAACATTTTATATTGAAACAACGCTTCCAGCCATCAGTAATTACCGTGAGATGTTAAAATGGATAAAAAATTGAAATATTAATTTAAAATAGTCATCATATGCCCATTACATGTTAAGTTAAATAGTATTTTCCAAAAAAAGAAAAGAAGCAGGAAAAAAAATAAGGCAAAGAGAAGCCTTGTCTGATACATTTTGGTAAATCTCTTTACTGTCCGGCTCACCAGAAGAGGACAGCTGGGTCCTGCCAGCAGCTTCTGCATTCAATCTGTTGTTTTGGTTGCAGTATGTGAAGAAAAAAAACTGGCTTCACAAAGAGACGTGGTTAGAAAAGGGAGGGAGTATTTTAATCATAATTTTTAAATGTCTTAGCATGAAAGTTGCAGCCTGGGCCCCCCAGGGGTCCAGACGCTCTGCGAGGACTGGGGCTTTGATATCTCTGACCTTGTAAGCGCCTGGGCCATCCCCAGCCCTGATGGACATCTGGCCACTGGACCCAGGTGGCTCTGGAGGAGAAGGTGAGGCCAGTGACCTTGCACGGCCCTCCCTCACTCAGGTCAAAGTCAACCACGAGGCCTGTCGTCCTCTGCCTGGAGTCATGGTGCTCTCGGAGAGCACAGGACAAACCACACCTCGTGAGCAGCCTGTGAGGGGGGTGCCGGGATGAAGCCCAGGCTCACGTGGGTGGGTCACAGGGCTGAGCAGGATCAGAGGTGAAGTCTTTCTGACTCCAGCCAGGGGTCCACAAACCGCGCCGAGCCTCCTCTCTATAAATAGAAACATCCCACATCAATGAGAGAAGTGGCAGAAGAGCCAGAGAAACCCGCCAGACTTAGAGCCCCGGCACCACTCTGGTGGGGCACAACCCACCGTGTGCTCCCTCCTCATCAGACGGTCAGGCGATCCGAGCCCCTCCTCCCAGGGTCGGTGGGAAGATCCAGGGGGGGTCACTGGTGCGGTGAGCACTCCCAGATGTTAGCTGCTGCTCCTGTCACTGTTGTGTGTTTGACACTGCAGGACCTGGTGACCTTCAAGGACGTATCTGTGGACTTCACCCGGGAGGAGTGGATGCGACTGGACCATCCTCAGAGGGCCTTGTACCGGGACGTGATGCTGGAGAACTACCGGAACCTGGTGCTGGTCTCGCTGGGTAAGCAGCCGTCATCCACGATTCAGGCTGTGCCCGCCCAGGTCTCTGCCTCCCCCAGACTCGGGCTGTGCCTGCGAGGGTCTCTGCCTCCCTCAGATTCAGGCTGTGCCCTCTGGTCTCTGCTTCCCCCAGACTCAGGCTGGGCCTGCTGGGGTCTCCACTTCCACCTTTGGGAGATGAAAGTTGGTGGCAGGAGGCCAAGCAGTGACTTGGCCCTTTTAGCAGGGACTCAGTTGATGCTGAGGGGCTGCGTTTTCCACATCATACCTGTTTTCACATCATAGGACAAGATTGCTTCTCTTTCTGCCTCGGTTGCCATCAGTAGGTGTGCCCATCTTTTTGCCTTTCCCAGCTTTGATTAAGTGCTTTCTTACAGGCCTTTGTTAGGAGCCTGTCATTCCATCGTCCAGAAATCCAAGTCCCATTCTGAAGACACAGCCCTCCCCGGCTGGTCACTTCCCCCCAAGCTGGCCTTTCTCCTTTGAAACCCTTCCATTGGCAATGAAAATTCTGCTGGCTCCCCAGGGATGGAGAGTGCCCAAGTGGCATGCCGTGGCTCCCTGCCCCCCACTTCCCTGAGGAGCCACACCTTCAGACTGGCTAAAGCCTCACCCTCCAGGGGCACATCTCGCCCTCTTGCAGGCGGGATGGCCAGCCCCCTGTCCCTGGAGCACCAAGAGTGGCAGAAATGCAGATCTTCCCCATCGGATGCAGGTGTCTGCTCTCCCGCGTGGTAGAAGCGACATTCCCAGGCCTCGCTCCTGTGGCTCTGCTCTGGCCAGACTCACATGAAGGAGTGTTCTTCTCAGGTTCCAAGCCCAGCTTTCCCGTGCCACTGTCTGGTTAATGCAGAGAGATTTGGAAGGAACCTCTTAGTCCAACTTGGACCTGGCTGACAAGGGCCTCTGCTCACAGACCTCCAGGCATGTCCTGCTGCCCTCCCCTCCCTCCGTCAGCCCCTTCCTCCAGTTCTGATCTGGCTTCTGGCCTCATCCTACAGCTGGGTTCAGCCATCTCGGCAGCAACGGCATTCAATCCAATTTTTCTCCCCTATGCTGTTGCCCCCACTTCTCAGTCCACCAGCCCCAGCTTTCTGGCCTTCCTTAATCCTTGCCTGAGATGGGATCTGCCGGCCTCTAGCATCCCCTCTCCAATCCTTTGTCCAAACAGCAGCCCAAGGCCAGGGAGGTCACTGGGACCTGAGCCATCTGCATCCAGTGGTTCCCTGTCCCCCCTAGGACAAGATAAACGTTCCTCTGGCATTTAAAGCCCCTTACAGTTCCACTGTAGCATTGGTATCCAGGCTGGTTTCCCGTCAGTCCGCCTCACATACTGTCTTTGCCGGCTGAACCGGTTCAGGGGATAGAGATCCAGGCCTGGATTCACGCCTGGCCTCGCACACTTCCTAGCTATGACTCCCTCTCTCTTGGCCTCATTTTCCTCAACTATGAAATGGGGATCATAATCACCCCCACCTCCCCAGGGTGCTGGCATGAAGGCCTAGGCCCTTCCCTCTCTTCCGTGTCCCTCCTTCATACCTAGAATACACTCTTCCTCCCTGCTGAGTCCTTCACTTCCTTCTACAGTAGGGGCTGCTCAGTGGTTCAGTGGAAGGGGTGCTAGACTCAAGGTCAGGAATACCTGAGGTCAAATCTTACCTCAGACATGTAGCAGCCTGATTCTGCACAAGTCACTCAGCCTCTGTTTCCTTATCTGTAAAATGGGGCCAGTAGTAATAATAGCTATCCCAGGAACATGGGGAGGGTAAAATTGAATAAGATTGGTAAAGTATGTGGCCCTCGCCCCGTGCCTGTGTACCGATTCATTTCCCCAGGAAGAACAGAAGCTCTTTGTATCCCCAGGACGTAGCATAGCACCGTGCATTTATTAAATGCCTATTGAATTGGTAAGTTCCCTTTCTGAAAAGAGGATTCACAGGAGCTTCTCCTGCCATGTCCCTGAAATCTTCCTCCTGATTTCCTCCCTCCTCCATGTAACAGCTCTTCGAGTACTTTGAGGTCATGGTAGAATAGAGCCCCTTCCCCAGTCTCTTTCAGACAGAATGTTCCTGGTCTTCTTGTTTTGCACAATTTTCAGTCTCCCCACCATTGTTGTTGCCATTTTCTGGATACACTCAGGCTTGTTAACTTCCTTCCTAAAGAATATTGCTCTAAATTGAACACCGTTTCCATAAGGGTTCTGCCCAGGACATGCTAAAGTGCAGATCTCCCCCATTTAGTACCTTGCTTCTCCTAAAGCAACCTAAGATTGTATCATTATTTTTTCGTCCAACACTCTTAGTGGTTCCCTAGATGCCTTGGTGAATTGAGTGCCAGACTTGGAGTCAGGAAGACCCAGATTCGAATCCTGCCTCAGATACCATCTGGGTGACTTTAATCAAGTCACTTAATCTCAGTCAGCTTCAGTTTCCACATCTGTAAAGAGAAATAGTACCTACCTCACAGGGTATAGCTCTAAGGAGATCCTAAAAGGACGTTGCAAAACCCTTAAGGCCCTGGGTCAGCGTGAGCTCTTATTACTATGAGAAATGTGCTTGGAATGGCCACAGCACCTCAAGCTCTCTCCAAAAAGCCTCCAGGGCCCGGCATGGAATCCTGAAAGTGGGTGGCAGTGCTCAGGCCATTTCCATTCCCTGTTCTGTTTTGTTTTCGTTCGCACAAGCAGGGCATCCAATTTCCAAACCAGACGTGATCTCCCGGTTGGAGCAAGGGGGAGTGCCATGGGTGCTGAAGAAAGGAGCCACAGGACGAGCCTTTTCAGGTGAGTGCAGAGAGACCGAGACAGGAGTCACTACACTAAGGTTTTCCTGGCCCAGCAGGAAGAAGCAGCACTTTCAGAGTGGTCACCTCATGGCCCTCATGCCTGTGAAAGAAAGCTGAGGTGAGCCTTAATGAACTTCCTCAGATTTGAGAAACTCCTTTTTTTTTTAAATTAAATTTTATTTTGGGTTCCAAATTCTCCCCCTCCCACCTCCATTGCCATACACTCTACAACTCTGTATCTCATCCACGAAGATATTGGGAGAGATTTTGTCAAATGCATTGCCAAGAGCTAGAAGGCTGCCCCCTCTGCTGATCTACTAGGTTAAAACCCTGTCTGTGAGGGAATAAAGTCATTTATCATGGATTGATTGGGTTTTAGAAAACCTGTGCTGGGTTCCTTTGAAATTGCCCTTTTGGTTTAATGTGTTGAGTTTTTTTTTTTTAATTTTGGCAGTGAACTTAATTCTTTGTAATTTATAGAATCTACTTTTCCATCTTCTGCTTTCCAAAAGAAAGCATGACACATACTCATCACCATTATTCTGACATAGCTCTGACTCCATGACTTCTCAGAAACAGTGTCCCCATTCCTATCTGTAAGTTCTTTCACTGCACTAAGATGGACTTCCCTGACTTGCCTTGGATTTAAGTTACTAAATGATGTTCAGGAGGTATTATTTTGTCCTGGAAAGAGCCAGGACCAGGGGTCAGAACATCTTGGTTTACCATGAGCCTCTCCGCCATAGTAGCATGTCCTTGGGTCACATGTTCTGAGCCCATCACTCTTCTCTAAAATACTCAGATTTAATGTTTAAATGACAGAATACACAGGCAGGTCTTCGTAAACTTTAAAACATTGTGCAAATGTGAAGAGCTATTGTTATTTCAGCTACTACTTAAAGTTTGACAGTTCTTGATTAGGAAGACAGGACTAAATGTGCCATCTCTTCCTTCTTTCAGATAGGGAGACTAAGCCTGAAGCCAAGAAGTCAGCTTCTAAGCTGTCCATCTCCATGGAAGAATTCTTTCCAGGGAGATCCATAAAGGAGGATTCTCAAGGGGGCAGTTTGGACCAAGCTGGTGAATGTGCTAGCAGATCAGAGCAGCAAATGGGAAGCCAGGAGGTAGAGTCCAAGTACGTCCGAGGGGCCCCCAAGAAAACACCCAGCAGAGGGAGAGGTCACGAATACAAGAAGTTTGGAAGAAGTCTCGGCCTGGAGGCAAACTCGTTTCCTCAACAGAAACTTCCAAGGGGAAAGTTACTCCGTAAAAGTGATGCACGTGGAAAGAGCTTCAAACAGTATGCAGAGCTGGTGAAAGGCAATAGAATCTCCTCAGGGAAGAAACTTTCTAAGTACAATGAATGTAGTAAGTCCTTTAGTCACAACGTAGACCTTCTTCAATATAGAATACTTAATGGAGAGAAACCTTACGAATGCCGTGAATGTGGAAAAGCCTTCAGCCGAAGAACAAACCTTACTGTCCATCAGAGAATTCATACTGGAGAGAAACCTCACAAATGTAGTGATTGTGGCAAGGCCTTTATCCAGAGTGCACAACTTACTGTGCATCAGAGGATTCATACTGGGGAAAAACCCCACAAATGTAGTGAGTGTGGGAAGGCCTTCATCCAGAGAGCCCAACTTGCTGTCCATCAGAGGATTCATACTGGAGAAAAACCTCATAAATGTAATGAATGTGGAAAGGCCTTCATCTCTAGAACACACCTTACAGTGCATCAGCGAATTCATACTGGAGAGAGACCTTACAAATGCAACGAATGTGGAAAAGCTTTTATCCAGAGAGCACAACTTGCTATACATCAAGGAACTCATATTGGGGAGAATCCCCACATATGTAATGAATGTGGGAAAGCCTTTAACCACATATCAGCCCTTAATTCCCATCAAAGAATTCATACTGGAGAGAAGCCTTATAAATGTAGTGAATGTGATAAAGCTTTCAATCACTATTCTTCCCTTGCTCACCATCAGAAGATCCATATCAGAGGGAATCCTTACGAATGTAATGAATGTGGGAAAGCCTTCAACCGAAGATCATTTCTAACTTATCACCAGAGAATTCACACTGGAGAGAAGCCTCATAAATGTAATGAATGTGGGAAAGCCTTCAGTTACAAGTCTTCCCTCACTCAACATCAGAAAATTCATACAGGAGGGAAGCTCATATGTAATGAATGTGGCAAAGCCTTCAATGGAAAAGCACTCCTCATGTACCATCAGAGAATCCATACTGGAGAGAAACCCTATAAATGTAATGAATGTGGTAAGGCCTTCAATTGCAATTCTTCCCTTACTCACCATCAGAAAACGCATACTGGGTGGAGACCTTATGAATGTAATGAATGTGGGAAAGCCTTCAGTAGGAGCACACACCTTACAGAACATCTAAGAATTCACACTGGAGAGAAACCCCATAAGTGTAATGACTGTGGGAAGGCCTTCATCCAGTTTACTCATCTCACTGTACATCAGAGAATTCATACTGGAGAGAAACCTCACAAATGTAATGAATGTGGAAAGGCCTTCAAATATAGATCATCCTTTACTTCCCACAGAAGGATTCATACTGGAGAGAAACCTCATAAATGTAATGTGTGTGGGAAGGCCTTCACCCAGATCACCCATCTTACCGTGCATCAGAGAACTCATACTGGAGAGAAACCTTATGAATGTAATGTGTGTGGGAAAGCCTTCAAACACAGCTCATCCCTCACTTCCCATTACAGAACTCATGTCGATGAGAAACGACGAATTTAGTGAATGTCTGAAGTCATCTTTTCACTTGGGAAAGACTTTCATTCACGTCGAAGAATACAAAAGTATGTAAGTAAAAATGCGGCAAAGCTTTCAACCACAACTCATCCCTTACCATCAGTGAACTCATATTGCAGAGAAGCCTTATAAAAACAGCCCTGTGAATGTAATGAGTGTGGTAAGGTATATATGGAAGCACCGTCTTACTGCAAATTAAGACAATTCATAATAAATAGAAACCCTTCCATGTGTAGGAACTATCTCAGTTCCCATATTGGCTTCCCAAGTCTTTTCCTCTTTCCTCAAGGCTCTTATAACCCCTTTGCCTCCCAGAGTTTCAGCTGGTAATAGCTGTTCACATTGACAAGATCCAGTGTATAATCTCTCAAACCACCCCCTTCTCTTCCCCTCCCCCCTGCCCCAGTACTATCACCTCATCTTTCTTCAGGTCCCAGGAGAAGCTGTCCGCGTTTTAATTAAGGATAAACCCTGTGCTTGTGCCCTTGATCTCTTTTTTTCTTGCCTCTTCCAGAACTTCCTCTAGGAATGCTCTCTTGTGCACCTTCCGTCTCCTTTCCACTTGAGCTTTCCTCTCAGTCTGCAGACGTCCTTGGCGCCCCAGTGCTTTCACACCAGATGCCTCCTCCTCTAGCATCCTGTCTGTTTCCTTGGCTTCTGCACGCCTTCCCAAAACATTCTCCCTTCTATGCCTTTCCACTCCCACCAGTGACTCAGGCATCCCCAAATCCAGTCATTTTCTGTGGAGTCCTCATCCCTCTCAGCCTCTTGGAAGCATTTGACGTGGTTTGCAATCCTCTCCTCCCTCAGTTCCATGGAAAGCTTTTCTGCCCCGATTTTCTCGCTTCTTTCTTGTAGTTCGCTCCCTTCCAGACCCCTTCAGTGAGTTGTGCCCCAGGATTCTGTTTGCGGCCCTCACTTCAGCATTCTTTGCAGCTGAATCTTCTGTCCTGACTTGAGCCATAACTTCTGTGCAGCTAACAAATTTCCACTTCATCTTCCACTTCGGTGCATTCCAGCTTGTTTCAGAGACAGGACTTGAGTTTGAATCCCAGCTCTAGTTTCACTGTGTGTGAGGTTGGTAAGTCTCTTCTTTGGACCCAAGTTCCTCATAGGGAAAATAAAGGAGTTGGACTGCGCTGACCTCTGCGGTCTCGTTGAGCTGTAATCTATGATTTCGTGACCCCAAGTCTCATTGGCCCAGGGTTCTGGCCTGGAGGTCTTTTTCAGTTCTCTCTGATGTACTGTACTAGTTATCTTTCCCACTTCATCTGCAGCATGGGTAAGGGTATCACTCTCTGCCTTTATCCAAACTGCACGGGGCCAGGCCTAGGCCATTGACTCACTGTACTGGAGAGCCCCTTTCAAGCTGAGCTGGGATCATGAATGACTATGCTTTGGGTTCAGACCTTCAGCTGGTTCTGAAGCTACCAGGCAGCCATCATTTGGCTTTTACCACCCTGTGTATTTGCTTAAATCCAGGTAAATGATATCAATCACCTTTCTTTGTTCTTCCAGTTAGAGAACCACAGAAGACAGCCTGTTACTGAGTGGTTCCCTTTCCAGCTGTTCTGTAAGCGTCCCTTCCCTTGTGCAGATTAGAAGTTTGCTAGGACCTGAGCCCAGCCCAGCAGTGTGCAGGCTGTTGTCCTTCCTCTTGAAAAGGGCTCCATTTGTCCTTCTGCCAGTCTGCAGTCCATCTTCTGTCCCCACGATCTTCCAGAGGTCATTGACAATAGCTCGTTCATTCATTTCAGTCACGTCCAGCTCTTCGTGACCCCAAATGGGGTTTTTCTTGGAAAAGACACTGGAGTGCTTTGCCGTTCCCTTCTCCGGGTCATTTTACAGGTGAGGAAACTGAGCAAATAGGGTAAAGTGACTTACCCAAGGTCCTACAGCTAGTGTCTGAGGCCAGATTTGAACTCATGACTTCGCGTGCCACCTGGCTGCCCAGTCACAGCGATCATATCTGCCATCTGTCTCAGAACTAGTGTCTTTGTCATTCATCTCCTTGGCAGAAAAAACCAAACCCCCCGGGCCAAGTGACTCAGGCAGCAGTTTGGAGTTTCCTCTGATCACACTGCCTGCCCCAGGCAGTTGTCTTGGTCCTTTCAGGAGCCGCCTCCTCATGCCCGGGGTAGTTCACTGTCAGGCACACACAGGCCCCAAACCACCCCAAGTCTTACCCCCCTGACGCTCTTGTACAAGACCGGCTCCTTTTGCAGTCATCCTCTGTTGTGCTTTCTGAACATTTTGCATATGCTCTTCTCTATGCTGGAGTTTACTCCTTTTACCTTGTTCTTTAAAGCCCAAATCAGATGTCTCTTTCCTACCCCCACCATCACCCAAGCCCTTCTTCCATTTGTTAAAGATCCCCTCCCCTCGCCCCAACAACACACAGCACCTGGAACCTGAAAAGTAGTTCGTGCCTTTCTAAGGCAAATGGGCTACATTCCAAATTACTTTCCCTTCTAAAAAGGGAGCGGCTTTGGCAAGGGACCTGGTTGAGTAAAAAGTGCACAGACTATACCATGCACCTGTGGGAGTCTAGGCAGGATCCACTAGAGAAGGTGAGGTGGGGCAGATGTGGCCCCTTGTGGATGGCACGTGGATTGGGTCAGCATTGCTGAGCCTCCTCGTAATGAGATGAGCCATGCCTAAGAGGCCATCCTGGAACCATGAACAGATGAAAAGTACTTCTGTCTAGACCAGACCTGGAGTCAGTGCAGCATCCTGTTTGTTTGGGACAGGCCATGGGGAACTGACACTGAATGGGAGAAAGACAGCAGGGTCAGTTACATTCGGAAAATTGGCAGTGCTTTCAGAGATCCCAGGCTGATCAAAAACAACATGAAAACCCATATTTTCAGTACAAATGATTCCCTGGTGATGCAGAAAATGATGAGGCCTGAGCTAAACGTCAGCTGCAACGTGTTTCCAGGGAAGAAAGGGCCTGAAGGGTTACTGGGTTTGTCATGTGGCAGGAATGGGGTGACGTGGCAGCCCAAGTGCTCCAGTGGTGTCTGAAATGTGCAAGACCAGGGAGGGAAGAGGGGAGGCGATTTTGGAACAGTGTAGACCACCCTGAATCCGGCAGGGAGAGAAAATGTGGATGGGCCATGATCTGCAACCGTGGAGTGAAGAGCCAGAAGTCACTGGTCCATTTTCTTTGTGGATATCATATCGTCTCATTAGACTGCTAATTCCTTGTGGGCAGGGACCAGGTTTTTATCTAAGTTTTATATGTTTCCCTTGGATTTAGCACAGTGTTCTGTGCGTATAGGATACTTAACAAATTAAACTCAGATTTATGGTGTGAAAAGTTTCTTGAGTATGTACTTCGATAAAATCAGTGAATTTGAGTGTAAAAGACTATAAATGGTTCTCTGGCATTGCCTAAAGCCCTCCATAGGTGGTGCTTTTATTGAACCCTCGGTTTGTATGTATCGAAGCCTAGTGGCCCAAAATCGCCATTCCCAGGTCTCTCGCCCCTGGCAGTGGTATAGGACTACCTCAGGACATCTTAGTGTCGACAGATTGCTGACACTGGCAGATAAAGAATTCATACTGTACACCTTACCCCGGGGATTTTTGTGTTAGATAATTTTTTTTTTTTTTGCAATTGGGGTTAAGTGCCTTGCCCAGGGACACACAGCTACTAAGTGTCAAGTGTTTGGTCTGAGGCTGGGTTTTAACTCAGGTCCTCCTGACTTCAGAGCCAGTGCCCTATCCATTGCACCACCTAGCTGCCCCTAGATGAATCTTTAATGTGACTTATTAGTGGTTCTAAGACTGGGATGGAATTTTGAGTTCTATCAAGTCACACCATTCAACCTAATCCATTTATATAATGTGTCTTTGGATAAGAGAAAATGGGGGAAAAAAACAGCCACCGTTTTGTGGCCTGTGGTACCACTACAGTGTGTCACTGCCCCCTGAAATATCAGAAGATAGTAGTGGGAGGAGCAGTTAGGTGGCGCAGTGGATAGAGCACCAGCCCTACATTCAGGAAGACCTCAGTTCACATCCAGTCTCAAACACATAACACTAGCTGTGTGACTCTGGGCAAGTCACTTAATCCCATTGCCTAGCCAAAAAAAAAAAAAATAGTAGTGGAGAGGGATGGCATTGGGGTCCAGCATGGATAAGGAGTCACTGGTAGAGATTTGGGAGCAAAGCCCTACTCTAGGTCCTTTCCTCTAATGGAGAGAAATTATTGATCCACTTAGCCTTTCCTCAGGTCCTGGCTTGGATCCTGTGGTTTCAAGAACCGACACTAGGGTCTGCCCACTGTTGGTGTTTTTTCTGGACCCTTGATTTTATCAGTACAGGCAGCTGAGGGACTTTCCCCGGCAATGCACTGTAGGTGGGCACCTGTTCAGCCAAACAACCTTGGTGAAATTCCCAGACTCACCTGGGTCATCTTTGAAGGCAGGAAGGCAAGGGTACTTAACCCTTTCATTTTTGTTACGGACTCTGGTGAGCCCTTAAATGCTCAAAGAGAAATGCACTCTATTCCAAAGGAAACCAACCGTACTCAGACAGGTTCATGGCTAGCAGGTTAAGAACTCTTGGTCTCAGGGGTAGATGGAACCAGTGTGCCAAATAGCATAGAGGTAGGGTTGTCTCCCTTCCTCTGTCCTTCCGTTTCTGCTCTCCTGTAGCCCTGTCTCATGCTGTGCCAGCCGGCAGCCTCTGAGTGTCTCCTAGGACCACTGCACCAGGGATGTGAGGATGGCCGGACAGACGCTGTGCCCACTGTTTCTGCAAGCGTTCAGTTGCTTCCAGTGTTGGTAGCTCCAGTCGGGCAGCAGAGTGCTGGAGGTGGAGATGGTAGCTGGCTGGCATGCGTACACAGGACTGTGATCCTCACAGTAGCACTGCCTGTGCCCTCCAGACTCGGGGGTTTCTGACATTGATACTTTGAGCTCCCGTGCAGTGATACTGTAGGTGGCACGCCAGTGGATAGTGCCAGGCCTGGCACTTATTGGCTGTGTGACCTTGGCAAGTCACTTCATCCTCTGCCTCAGTTTCCTCATCAGTAACATGAGCTGGAGAAGGAAATGGTAAACCACTCAGTGTCTTTGCCAAGAAAACCCCAAATGGGGTCACAAGGAGTCAGACAACAGAACCACAAGGATACTGAGTCAGCTGAGTCACTTGCAAATCAGAAGCACTCCACCGGGACCTTTATCGAAGCTGTTGACATAAAGAAATCATGGCAGAACACAGCATGTGCCTGTCCCTGGGGTTCTGCCCTAGACACCCTGCCAAGTGTGACGGGGAAACAACTTCTCTTTGAATTTGTCCAGTCAGCCCATTCTGAATCCATCTTTCCCACAAGAATAGTGTGGTTTATTTTATCAAATTCTTTGCTAAAAGCTAGGTAAAGTTTACACCAGATAAGTAAATTAACAGAACCTGCTACACACAGTTATATGCCAGCAAAATTTAGAATTCAAAAAAAGTGGAAGATTATCTACAAAAATATAAAATACTTAAAAACACCACCGTGTAGACATCACAAATAATCCAGTCACAGAGGGAAGCCCAGGGCAGAGGCGAGAGGCAGAGAAGGGAAATGGAGCGTTCTATTGATTGCCTTTAAGGCAAAGTATCTGAACTCTGAGAGTATACCTTGGCCTCATCCTGCGCAGAGCCTGCACCGCCGCCTGCTTTCTGGCGGTGTCCAAACTCTGCTGCTGCTTCCTCTCTGGCCATCCTCCTCCTCCTCCCACTCTTCCTTTGAAACCCGGGGCTTTGAAAGGTGAGCTACGTCCTTCCCTTTCCTAAAAATCGGATCTCCTACTTCCTATTTTCAAACCAAGCCCTAGTGCCTCACTTTTTTGTTTTGTTTTTGCTTTTGGGGGTTTTTGGTTTGGTTTTTGGGTTTTTTTGGCTAGACAATGGGGGTTAAGTGACTTGCCCAGGGTCACACAGCTAGTAAATATTGTGTCTGAAGTCAGATTTGAACCCAGGTCCTCCTGACTCCAGGGCCAGTGCTCTAACCACTGCACCACCTAGCTGCCCCCTCTAGTTCACTTTTATTGGTCATGCTTACACAGCATTCAGTTACAGCCATACAGGGTCAGCATCTCCTGGGCCCTCACTACCTGCAATCATGGTGGGGGTAAGGTTGGGGG